AAAACGTTTGCCCAGTGCATACAGGCAGGGGGCTCCACCTGTCCAGGAGGGACCGCCAGGTGGGGACACCTGCCCAGACGCCCCGCAGCCTCGCCTGGCCCTCACCACCGCATCCCACGCCAGCCACGCCCTGTCCAGCCACGCCTTCTGCGACGAGGGACAAACTGTGTGGCCTCCCAGGGTCTAAGCCAGTATTTAGACCCCGTCCCTGTGAGTCTGAAGCCAGGCCCTGCACCCCCAACCAGTCCTGGGGACACGTCAGACCCCTCAGAACAGCAGGTGCCTCCGGCTTCCCCACCTGGATCTCAGCTCCTGGTCCAATGAGTGCCTGGGCACTCAAACACCCTCAGAGCTTCACTCTGATCATCTGTGAAACGGGCACAGCGGCACCGCCTCTGGGAGCCCCAATGGGCCAGGTGCCCCGCAGGAGGCTGGGTGGCACCAGGGAGGGGAGTGGATGGCGCCTGGGACCCTCGCCCGACGCCAGAGTCTGAGGTCTCCTCACTGCCCTCCCCCTGCGAGGCAGATGCACGCGCCACAGCCACGTGCCATCTTTCCCTTGCTGTTCTGTTTAAAGCCACCATTTCTCAATTCAGAATTTCTGCATGAGGGCTGGAGTCGCCACTTGGGAAGTGGAACACAGACACTCGGTCAGAAAAGACGGCCTCTTCCTCATGAGGAAGAAGCCAATTTTCAGTTTATTCCCCCCATGGCTTCACTGCCAAGTCCCCGTCTCATCTGTGCAGGTGGGGGGACTCGGGGGCCCTCCAGGCCACATCCCCACTCTCAGGAGGACTCGGGAGCCGTGCCCGGGTCACGGTAGCCTTGGGCGCAGCCCCAACAACCGAGTGGGTCAGGGCCCCCTGCGGGGCTGGCCCGGCCACACCTCACCTTCCTACGGCCTCAGGACCAGCCGCAGCGCCCTGACCTGTCCTTGTGCGAACACAGTGGGGAGACGACATGCTTAGAAAAACCCAGAGCGGAGCTGGTTTGCCTGTTAATATGGTCTGTATGCTTGTCTAACTGATTTTTCAAAATACCCCAGAAGGTGTGAAAAACACAGAGGTGAAAGTCACCTGCAATCCCTCATCCGAATGCAACCGTTAAAAGGTCTCATCTGCCACATCATTCTCCCCGTGGGTTTGAGGAAAGTCGGGTGCTGGGCCACTGTCTCCAGGGAAACACGATGACCTCATCAGGGGCACCAAATCCGGGGTGCTACCCAGCTATGCGGGGCTTTCCTTCCAGACCCATTGCGACACCTCACACCTTGGGGGTCACCTTTGCGTTCGTCACCCTGTACACAGCTCAAATATTTTACAAATCCTGAGACGGCTTCTTTCAGTAGAAATTTTACATTTTTCAACAGCAGGCAAAATCTATCAATAGTTCATCACTTTGTTCTGCTATTAGTGAAGACTGGTAATTTTGCATTGCAACGTTGACTCTTCACAACATGAATCGAAAGTCATTTAGGTTACAAAGTAGTGCTTTTTCTGAAAACAGGTGCATTCAGCTGGCTGAACGTAACAGCTGGCCAGCACCGAGTGGACCAGGCTGGGACAGGATGTGGCCATCCACCACCCTACCCCACCCCCTTCCCCAGGAGCCCCAAGGGACCCTGAGACCCAGGAGGTGCCCTGCAGACAGTTCTGGACCAGGTTGGGTCCTGTATCCACGATTACAAACTACAGAACACAGCCGTGAGGACACGCACTCACCACGACAGCATCACGTGTGGGTCACAGCCCCATCAGACACTTGTGGTGAAGCAGCAACTACTAGGAAGTGACGGTGCCTGTCCTCAGAGCACAGACGCTGGGAAACCCCTCGGAGGGCGTTCCTGCCCCGCATCCATCACCCACAACCCCTCTTCTGCCAAAAGAAAGCAGTGGCAGCAGCAGGTCCCTGGGTTAGTCATTCAGCACCATCTGTACCCCCGCTTGGACTATTTTATCACAAAGTTAAAAATTTTTTAGCCAATTCATTTCTTTAAAGCTTATTAAATAGTGTTCTGCCCTTCTTTTGTTCAAACATCAACTGAGAACCATAGAAAGTATATAAATGGCTAGAAGTAAATGGGGAGAAAGAAGAGAAAGTCCCTGGCCTGTGACAACAGTCAGAAAATATCTGGTGACATATGATGTCCGTGAGTGAGCATCTGAGGTTCAGGGTCTGAAACCACCAGTGGAACCACACGCCCCCAGAGGCAGGTGTAGAGCAGGACGGGAGCAGGAGTGGGTGAGGTGGGGGGGAGGGGAGGAAGAGGGGGCGAGGGCAGGGACAGGCCAGGAGACCAGCGAGGGAAAGGCAGAAACACGCACACCACGGGAAAGGAAGGTGGTGGGACTCGGACGTGTCACCTGGCTTGAGACGGCATCGTGGTCATCCAGTCCCTAAGGGAGGTCAGGGTTTCTCTCCAGAAGAGGCCACTGTTTGGGAAGAACAGATGGAAAGCTTTTTACAAGATGAAGATGATTAAGTAAAGAACGTACTCCTATCAGCTGGGTGCTGAGGGGAGGCTTGCTTCAGGCTCTAACTCGTGAAGTCACTGCAGTAAAATCGGAAGCGGGGCCCAGGGCAGGGCAGGCGCAGCGCCTGCTGTTCCCAAACAGCGTCCATTCAAATACACAAAAGATACATCCTGACAGCTGAGGTTGAAGTTGGTTGTTTATTTATGAGTCTACACGTTTTGTTGGCATCTTAAATGAGGTTGAAGGTGTCGAGACGGGTACCACCAGCTCTGAGTGACTGAGTCAACCGGAAGCAGATGCCAGTAACCGTGCAAACTAACAGTCAGAGTATATAAAGCATGTTTTATTTTAAAAAACCTCAGCATTGAGAATTCAACCTTCTTTGAAGCCCATCACTTTTCTGTTAAAAACGACAGTCAAAAGAGCAGACACTTCACTCTTCACACAGAGAAGCTATGTTTTTACAGAAGTCAAACAAATCTCTTCTCTCATCAGCCAGTGAACAAAACAAAGATGCTTCAGTAAATTCTATCAAGAAAAAATATCTTCCCCCCAAAGCATACCAATAAATATTTATATTAAAACCCACAAATATTTTTGTTTCATCAGCTACAACAGAAGAAAAATTCATTTTTACGTTAATCTTTGTAGATAAGTGTGATTTATGTGCATATCCCAACCCCGGTCTGGTTTTGAGGAACAATGGTATGAAGAGCTGTTCTGCCAGCTGTGCACCACGGGTGTGTCACAGGCACTGAGCGTCGCAGCACACAGGCACAGGCTCCCCACATTGAGGACGCTGTCCCCACCACCGCACTGAGCTCCCTGCCTAGAGCCTCGGACACGAGGTCTCCCTCCCTGCACCTCAACACAGGATTAGCCCAAGACAAGCCCGCGGCTCCTGCTTTAAAATCCTCGCTTAAGTGACGGTCTGGAGCTGGTCTGCAGCCACAGCAAGCGTCTCTTTAGGGAGAAGTGTACTACAGTCTATGTACTGAACTGTTTACCTGAGGAAACACGGTTTTCAGTCCCGGTATATTAACCATTTCAAGTTCCTAACGCAAACTGGATTTTACCACCACTTACACGTCCCCCCTTCAAGGCTCAGTGAAGTAAACTTCTTGTCTCTTAGAAAAAGATGGACATAGATGACTGATGGACACTACGCAGACAGAGAGAGATGGTTAGAGGACAGGTATACATTGTACATAGATGGCTGGAGATGACAGAGTGTAGACAGATGACTGAGAAATGACAGATGACAGGCAGACACTGTCACCCCCCGGAGTCCACAGATATGCTAAATGACACCCCTTTACATGGAACAGCACAGAACTGAACACTGAGGACAGTGGCTTTTAAAGAGAGGAATGCACAGTGTAACTGGAGGTTTTTGTTTTGAACCAAAAAACCCCTATACCTTCTCTGTGAAGCCACCGTGACCTGAGATAGACACGTACTCCAGCAGGATCGGAGCTGTCCTGCTGAGGACACACGTGCACGGGTACCTGACCAAGGGGCCAGTCTATCAGGGAGGCAGAAAGCAAGTCTGGAGACACACGAGACGCCTCAGTGACGTGCCCAAACCAGCCAGTCTCTCATTTGGAAAAACAAAACCCTGGGTGTTAGAGAAGAGAGGCACTTTCATCATTTTACATACAGTTTTAACTCTTAACAAGCGAGTTATTATTTTCCAAACAAAATTAACTGTCAAGTTACTAAAACTGATGCATGCTTTATATATAGCATTCTTTAATCTGCAATCAAAAACAGAGAACAAAGTTTTAGAAGAAAATAAGATCAATATTTAAAAGTTCAGGAGAAATAAAAATAAAACCTCAAGATAAGAACCACTGTCATCATCTAATGCGCTTACAGGAGGCTGGAGATGAAGATGCGTTTGCAGACAGTGCATTCACACTGATCAGATACAGCCTTCGCTTCTCCAGGGTTTATTCTGCTTGCATATTTTAAAATTTAGTACAAAAGAAGAGTTAACACAATGTAACATGACCTTTGGAAGATTCATTTTACACCTGGATTGCAGGTTTCTGGCAACAGAAGAGAACTGCGCAGCTGCTACATTCTTGTGTCACAGACTACACGTATGTGCTACATGCAGAGAAAGGGATCAAGACACGGAACAAAGACCTGCAACCGAGGACACAGGAAGACGGTTTTGTGGCAAAATGCAAATTACCACTGCGCTCCTCCCGGACAGCAGCAAACCTCACGTCTCCAGTCTCAGCAACACGCGGACGACAGGAGGACGTTTCCACATACGGCAGTCGATGTGCGGTCCCTGTTCGCGTCCACCGAGGAATTTCCTAAGTAAGCATTTGAAGAGGACAGTCCAAATAAAACGGCACAGGGCAGATTCTCTGCAGTTTTCATCTGGGAAAGACCAAACTTGATACTCTACTAAAAACATACCGTGATACAGCAAACTCTAGGAATCTGAATGAAATGAGATACAAAGGTGCAAAATCAGGCAGATCTTGGTTTGTGAACTCGCAGGAGTGGGGCCGTCACTCCAGCTCCTCCCAGTCGTCCGTCAGGTGGCCTCTGCTCTGCCGACGGATGCTGACCAGCTTCCCCGCTGACCTGAGGCTCCAGCGCGAGCTGTTCCCGGCGCCGGCCAGGCTGGTGTACTTGGTGGAGCCCCTGGCATCCTCCTCCCAGCCTGGCCCGGACAGACGGTCACTCATGGGGTCACCCGAGTTGGCTGCCACATCTTCAGGAACAAGTTTTGGTGGCTCCCAACCTTCGATCTCATCTGGTTTCTTAGACTGTGTGCTCTGTTTCAAAACCAAATTGTCCCAAAATCCAGACTTCTTCTCCGTCTTCGAGTCTTCCTTTAATCGTAAGTTAGTTCTACAGGAGACGAAAGAGTTAACTGTTGGTGATCGGTCATCTCAGAGCCTCAAGTTGTGTTTATTTTATAAAATAAAAGGTTCTTTTTTTTAAAAAAAAAGTCTTGTTTGGAAAGCTCACACAGATTTATATGTAAAACTTGAAATATTAATAAGGAAAAATCCGTCACTACACATGATTAGGGAAACTTGTGAATGCTGTATTTAAGGTACCACGCTTGGCAAAATGCAAAGTCACTCTCCAACAGGAGAGAAAAAAGCAGACTGTCTCAAGGCCACACAGAAGGCCGAGCTCGTCTCTGAACCAACCTGAGAAAAGCAGCCCCAGGTCCAGATTCAGAAACGGGGGGTTACTCCATTTACCACAGGTTCAGTTTTCCACAGGTTTATTCAGAGCTGCAGCCTCAGACGTTCAGAGCTCACAGCGCTGTGTGCTCTGAGGAAAATACGGCCGACTGTAGAGGCGAATGCTCACACACGACTCAGGGCTCTGGCCGCAGTCACCCAGCCTGGCTGCCGGGAGCATCCCCAGGACACAGGGGTAAAAACGCCGGCATCCAGGCCTGACCCCTTCAGAGTCTCATTTAACTGGACCGAGGGGCCAGGACACAGGCGTGTTTCCAGGCCCCCCGTAAGCTGCCACCCTGACATCCAAGAGGACCGACTTACACAGTCCCTGCAGAGAGGGTGCATGTGGTCGTGACCACGGGGTCAGAGGCAGGGGAGGGCCAGACAGCGCTGGTGGGTCATGAGTGCTGCCGAGGCACCTGGTCCTCGCAAGAGAAGTCTCTCTACGGTCAGACTCACCAGGAGTCACCTGCCACTGGCAATTCCACTAGGTCGTCACTGAATTTATATTTTCATCTTTAAAAACATTTTTTTGTTGTTGTTGGCCATGCCGCATGGCTTGTGGGATCTTAGTTCCCCAACCAGGGATCAAACCCAGGCCCATGGCAGTGAAAGCACAGAGTCCTAACCAGTGGACCACCAGGGAACTCCCTAAATACATTTTTTAAACTTTCAAAATATTTATAATAAACTAGCAGCACTGTCAGCTTAAATATATTCAATTTTCTAAAATCTGTTTTTTTTAATTTATTTATTTTTGGCTGTGTTGGGTTTTTGTTGCTGTCCACAGGCTTTCCTCTTGTTGTGGCATGCAGGCTTCTCATTACGGTGGCTTCTCTTGTTGCAGAGCACGGGCTCTAGGTGCGTGGGCTTCAGTAGTTGTGACACATGGGCTCAGTAGTTGTGGCTTGCGGGCTCTAGAGCACAGGCTCAGTAGTTGTGGTGCACGGGCTTAGCTGCTCTGCAGCAAGCATATGGGATCTTCCCAGACCAGGGCTCGAACCCATGTCCCCTACCTTGGCAGGCGGATTCTTAACCACTGCGCCACCAGGGAAGCCCCAATTTTCTAAAAATCTTTTACAGTGTACAATCAATCTTTGCATTTTTAACTGGGTTTTTTTCTCGATTTTCTGAAACTACTACACACCTTAAGCATGGCTACAAGCTGCTTTAAGGCTCTTAAGTTCTATTTACTGTTAAGTTTGAGAGCTGGTCAGAGAAGCTTTTTTTCCACTTTTCCATAATCTTTCTAAGTGCTTACTGTCAAAATAAGTACGACTCATTTCTATCTCCTCACACGAGGAAGGATGCCCTCAGCGTCCCTGCACACTGCCCTGCTCCCCACCGCCGCTGGAACGGCTGCCGTCCAGACAGCAGCTACTCACCCTCTGGACTTGGGGGATTTACATCTTTCCAGCAGGTGCTGCTCGTCATCCTTGTTAAACAGCGAAGTCACTTCTTTCCAGCCTCGGAAACTCGCTCCCTGAACCTAATAAAAGGTTAAAAAAACGATCACATCTGACATAGTGAATAAACAGGTTACAGCTGTATTACGCAGTAACTGCGGGGCTGACATTCAGCACAGAAGCTGGCACCAATTTCCTTACCTGCCGTATCCGCACAGCGACTTTTCCCATCAATTGCAGGTAATCTCCGTTACCCAGTGAGGACAGTGGGTAAACCCACCCACGTTTAATAACAGACGATCAGTGACCACACTGCAGCCAAGCCAGGTCGGGACGGTGGGGCTCCTGACACGAGGTGGGGGGGCTGCACCAACCTCCAGGTGGACTTTGAGAAGAAACCACGCATTTTTGTTTATTCTAAGACAAATGATTTTGTACTTTTTCATTTCTGAAATCAGGATGTAATTAACGCCTGGCATCTCAGATTCAAAGAGATACAGTAATAAGGGAGGAATGGAGAAAAAGAAAGTACATCTCCAGAAGTCTCGTGTCAAGTGCCTTTACCGTGAGCCACTCTCATGTCCCTGGAGCCCAAAATCACACCAACTGCAGCTGGTTTTCTTTGAAGGGGATGGAGGAGGGCATCTCCCATAGGGCAGACCTGGCTTTAAATGCTTTGAAATGTTAAAAATGCAGCAGCACTGAAACCTGAACCAGGAGGCCGCAAGCGAGCAGTGGTGTGAGACCATCCACAGAACAGGAAACAAACAGCTTGCGACCCTGCTGCGCTCGCCCCTCCAGGGCTGATTATGTCTCGCTGAGGGCTCAGATGATGGTTGGCATGCTTTTTAGCAATTAAGCATTTTTTAATTAAGGTGTCTACGTTTTTAAAGGCATAATACTACTGCACATTTAACAGACTACAATCTAGCATAAACACAACTTTTATACACGCTGGGAAATCAAAAACTTGGCATGACTTGCTTTATTGCAGTGATCTGGACGGAACCCACTCTCTGCCTGTGCAGCAAGGTTGTTAAGAGAGTACATCCTACGTTGTCATCACAAAGAGAAACCTATTTCCTTCTTTTTCCTGTATCTACACGAGATGATGGGTGGTAACTAACCCTAGCATGGTCATTACTTCCTGACATATGTCAGTCACAGCATCATACTACACGTGTGGAATTTATACAGTGAGGCGTGTCAGTTACTTCTCAATAAAACTGGGCGGGGGGGAAGAGTTCTAGGGCAACCACTCTGTAGCCTACAGGAGAAACTTACTACAAATCAATGAGATGACCTAAATGAGATGGTACTACAAATTGCTGAGATGATCTAAATGAGATGGTAAGTCTTAGATGTGGGCCCCAGAGCTTGGGGGAAACTAGAGATAAAACCACCACCGAAAGGAGTGTCTAAAAACGTTTAAAATAATAAAAACCTCAACACAAACCACCAGTGCCGTTCAGTCCGGGAGGCCCACGCTGCGGGAACGTGTCACCGGCTTAGGGCATTCTCCCCCTTCTCCCTACTCCTTTGCCTCTAAACCCTCCCTTCCCAGCTTCTCACCTGTAATCGGGAAACACAGATGCGCTCGCCCTCTGGGCAGGTGCAGGGATGCATGTGAGGTGAAGAGCTCTCTGGTTGTCACCCACCACCTTTCCGTGGGAGCATAAGGGCCCGTGTCAGACCCTGAGCTCTAACCTCACCCACACCTCCCACTGGACACTGCCCAGCAGGCTTGCCTCCACCTTGCTGCCCCTCAAGAAGGGCAGCCTTCATCCCACCTCTCCCTCCATGCACTGGCCTTGGTGCCTCCAGTCCAGCCGGGCTCAGAACCTGGAGGTGACCCCACCCCCTTGGATGCCACATCTGTCCCCGGCATGTGAATCCAGGCCTCTGGTTGTGGGGACTCGGTACACCTCTCCCACTGCCACACGTCACTCAAGGGCTGGCAATACCTGCCAGGTGACGTAAGAGCGAGGCTCCACGTCCCCAACAAGCAGACGTCCCAGGTCACAGCTGACACAGCACCTGGAAGAAATCAGAGAGACCAGGTGCGAAAACCTCTCTCTGCTGGCAGGTAACTACTAAGTGACAAGTGATGGCACATCTACAGACAGAGCAGTAGGAGTTCTGAGTGGTGAGCGCTCACGTACAGTGTGGGGCAAACGGCCCGCCGGCAGCCTGAGGGAGACCCACCCTGGGCCAGGCACATCCTACAGGAGCGCGGCCATCACGCTGGGCTTAACGATCCCAAAAGAATGTGTCAAAGCCAGACCGCTCCTTCACTGACAGACCTGCTCTGCCTGCAGTGCCCACGTTTACACCTGAACCGCACCCCGAGAGGGACACGGGGATGTCACCCACAGACATGACTGCAGCCACCCAGCAGGTCCCAGCCCAAGGGCTCTGCCCCTGATCTCAGGGAGGCTGCCCTCCACAAGCGCCACATGAAGGGTGCCCGTGGACATGGAAGCGCTCCTGAGCTCACCTGGAACCGTGGGCTGTGTGGAGGGCAAGTGCCATTCGCAGTGTAGGGTGAGGAAGTTTCCATCCTCAGAGGGCAGAGGTGACAAACTCAAATGCTTCTTGCAGTCAGAAGGGCCGGGGGTAAAAAAAATTCTTTATCAGTGAGACGAGAGCCAGGGAGAAAGGGACGGCCCCAAAATGAAGACACACATGATACGCTGTGAAACTGAGCAGTACCCAAGAAGCTGTCCAAAAGAGACAAGAAAATGAATTTCAGCTCCGAACAAGGAAGTTCCTTTTCCCTGTGCCCATAACTCCGTTAACAAAAAGTACTGCAGGTCCCATGGGAGGAAAACCTGTGGAATCCTAGAAAGAATGCTGTCATCCATAACTTACCAAAACTCGTTCTGTTGGAGCAATTTAGCAGGAGGGTCTTGTCACACCTCGTCTACTGCCCCGCGTAAGCACAAAGCCCAGCTGGGTTCTCCGGGCCTCCGGCTCTGCCTGGGCAGAAAGTCAATTCACAGCACTGCCCACGGCTGAGTAAAGCTCCCAGCCTTGCCAACCAGAGTGCAACAGGCAGAGCTGATCACCCACAAAGCAAAGCCAGCAGCACAATCCGACAAGGGAACTTGGGGCGCGGGTCAGCTTGAGTCAAGACCACAAAGAGCCTTACCATCTGCTGCCCCTGGGAGGGGAAACTAACCCACGGCCCGCCCACAGCTGAGTACAGCCTTCAGCCCACCTGACCAGGGGCCCTGAGCAGAGCACACAGGAGGCTGTGCTGTCTATCCAGCAGCCCTGCTTACAGTGACAGCTGAGTGGAGGGCCCAGCCTGAGGTTTTTCCCTTCTGCAGAGCAAAACCAGTGGCCCCGTCTAGCCAGGGAATTCAGGCACAGTCCAGTCTGATTTGGGATCCCAAACATTGAGCTGGGCAGACCCTGAGGCCCACCCTGCTGCCCCACCAGGGCATGGAAGCTAATGCACAGCCCCCTCTACTGCTGAGGATAGCGTCCCATCCTGGCTGTTTGTGGAGCCTAACCAGAGGACCCAGGCCCCTGCAGTCCCTCTTACAGTCTCAACGCGGGCAGAGAACCAAGCCAGCCAACCTGTCTGAACACTGTCAGCCAGCAGCAACCCCCTGACCCAACAGGACCTCAGGGCCCAGGGCTCAGACAGTGGCCTTACCCCAAAGTAAACACGCATAGCAAGCCCCATCTGCCTAAGCACGTTAGCAGCCGACAGGTCCAGAAATCCAAATTAAGCTGCTCAAGAACTGTCTCTAGCAAAGAATCTATAAGGTCTGGAAGAGGAACCCACTCACTCAAAAGCACAGAAAACAACGTAAGGAATCAAGCATCACAACAGCAGGTAAATGTCACACCACCAAAGGGAACTAATAAAGCTCCAATAACTGACCCCAAAGAAATGTGATATCTACGAACTATCAAAGAATTCAGAATAACCCTATTAAAGAAGTTTAGTGAACCACAATAACACAACTAAATGAAATTCGGAAAACAACACATGAACAAAACAGGAGTTCAAAAAAGAAGCAGACACCATCAAAAACAAAAAGAAAACCACACACCAGAAATCATGGAACTGAAAAACACAGTCACTGAACTGAAAAATTTCAACTGAGAGCTTCAAAACTAGCCTTCACAATACAGAGAAACAATTGAAACGATCAGTGACCTGGAAGACAGGACAGCTGAAATTATCCAGTCAGAGGAGCAAAAAAAAAGAAAGAATGAGGAAAGCCAGAGGGACTTGTGGAACATAGTCAGAAACAACAATATCCACATTACAGCAATTCCAGGAGAAGATAAAGGGACAGAAAGTATATTTAAAGCAATAATGGCTGAAAATGTCTCAAGCCTGGGGAGAGAAATGGATATCCAGATCTATGAAGCCAAAAGACACCAAAAAGGTTGAACCCAAATACATCTACATTGAGACACAATTAAATTGTTAAAAGTCAAAGATAAAGAAGCAATTTTGAAAGCAGCAAGAGAAAAGAGAAAAGTTACATACAAGGGAACCGGCTACCCTCCCCCAATAAAACTATGGAGAGATTTCTAAGAGAAACTTTTCGGGCCAGGAGAGGATGGGATGATAATATTCAAAATATTTTTTTAATTATTAAAATTTTTACTTTATTTATTGAATTATAATTAACGTACAATATTATAAAGTGTTATAAAATATTAAAAGAAAAAACTGTCAACTAAGATTTCTATACCAGCAAAACTGTCCTTCAGAAATAAGGAGAGATAAAGACTCTGCCAAACAAACAAAAGCTGAGGGAGCTCATCAGCAAAATAAGAGGACTCTAATTAACACCATAAAGACATGAAGGTAGTGTAAAACTCACTAGTACAGGTAAATTTATAGTCAGAGTTAGAGTCCATAATATGGTAGTAATGGTGGTGCATAAATCACAACTCTAGTTTAAAAGTAGAAAAAAAGTACTAAAAATAATCATAACTACAATAATCTGTCCTTGGATATACAACATAAAAAATATGTAAACTATAATATCAGTAACCTAAAATGTGAGGGGGAGAAGAAATAGAAGTTAAATACCACTTGCCAATGCAGGGG